AAGTCAGCACAGCCCAGCTCAAGTCAACCATTAGATTCGTGGTTTGACCCCATCCCTTATCACACAGCAATGCCTCCTGCATCAGCTCCACAATCCCCCGGCCAGGCAGGGCAATCTCAGGGTAGGTTCCCCCCTAATGTCAGGATTTTTAACCTGAAGCTATCGACGGTGCAGATCCTGACACGTCAGATGAGGTGTAACGCTCGAAACCGTCCGTGCTTCATGTCAAGATGTTTTTACATTATGGGGGAGCGTACCCTCTCTCAGTCAACCCATTTCGCCGTGGCTTGACCCGAGACAAGACCAGTCAATCTCAGTTTACCATACTCTTCCTGGTTCGACCCGAGACAAGACAATCCAAGCCAGGAGTCAACCATACTGTCTTGAACGGCCATACCTCCTGCTTTAGCTCCACTTCTCCCTGGGCCCCAGACCGATAAGTCAATCTCAGTCAGCCATATTTTCCGTGGTTTGACCCGAGCCAAGAAAGGTCAATCTAAGTCAACCACACTATCGTATACAGTCATACCTCCTGCTTCAGCTCCACTATCCCCCGGTCAGACAGATCAATCTCCGTCAACCGCGCCAGCTCAGCAGCTGCCATGTCATCGGCCAGCGTGGCGCAATGAGGGCCTGCCACGTCAGCAGCGAAGAGCAGCGCCCAGGTGGAATAGCATCGGGTGAAGTGGCGGTTGAAGAGCTCGAGGTTGGGAAGGGATGCGAGGAGAGTGTTCCTTAGCGCGACAGCAGAGGACCTGTGTGAGGGAAGGAACAGCGAGGCAGGAAGGGATAGAGGGGGGGATCACCGCCCGGGAGGAGTAGCGGCGGGTGAAGAGCTTGAGGTGGGGGGCAGAAGCGAGGAGAGCGTTCCTCAGAGCAGCAGCAGAGGACCTGTGAGAGCGCTTAAGGGGGGGGAGAGGGGAGGGGGAAAGAATTGGGGAGGAGCAGAGCAGCAGAGGCAGCACTGTGAGTGCAGCGCCCATCCAGGAGGGTGAAATGGCGGTTGAGAGCTCGAGGTGGGGGAGAGACGCGAGGAGAGTGTTCCTCAGAGCAGCAGAGGACCTATGAGAGCATGGGGAAATGGGGGGAGGGAAGGGAAGGTGGGGAACAGGGGGGAAAGGGGGGAAAAGGGGGGGAAATGGGGGAAAGGGGGAGAAAGGGGGGAAAAAGGGGGGAAAGGGGGGTTAACAGGGGAGGAGCAGAGCAGAGGCAGCAGTGTGAGAGCAGCGGGCACGAGGAGTAGCAGCAGGTGAAATGGCGGTTGGAGAGGTGCTGATTCTAGCTCCGGGGGCGAAGCGAGGAGAGTGTTCCTTAGAGCAGCAGCGGAGGGTCTGGAAGGGCATTGGGCGTTGGAACTTGGAGGATGGGGATTGGGAAAAGGGAGGCGGGAAGGGTTACTCCGTAGCAGTGCAAGGGTTGTTGTTACGCCAGAGCGTAAGGCGGGCGGGAGGTGAGAGGTGAGAGGCGAGGATATGCAAGTGGCACCCACCCAATCGCACATGTAGATACCTTAAAGAGATTCAACGAGAACCCTGATTCCCCACTCTTACTCTGTTGCAACACAGGGGTTGTCGTTGAGCCAGAGGGCCTTGAGAGAGGCGAGGGGAGAGAGGATGGAGGCCACCCGAGCAGCATCTGTGAGGCGGTTGCCCCAGAGGCTCAGACCCACTAGGTTCTGGTAGGGAGAGAGGGCGAGACAGGACAGTTATGTGAGAGTGTGACTATGCCGAGGCAGTGTGCTGGCTATGTAAAACGGGGAGGAAGGGGATGGATGGACGCCACTCGAGCAGTGTCTAACGCGGTTGCCCCAGAGGCTCAGACTAGACATGGGCAAAATGCGATTGCGATTTAAATCGCATCGCATTGGGGGGCGGTTTAATTAAATGTGATGCGATTTTAAATCGCATCGCCCGATTTAATTTCTGGAAAAAAAATCATCGCACATCGCGTTTTGCGCGCGATGAATATGTAAACCGCATGCGGTATTTAATTAAATCGCGCGATGCGATTTTAAATCGCATCGCGTTTTAAAACAAAATAAATAAATAAACACCCCAAAAAAACAGAAAAAAACCATGGCTGTGGGGAAATTGACTCACGGGCAGTCATAAGCTAGAGTGCAAATAACCAGTGTGGTTTCGTTGTGGGTTTCAGAGTGGGTTTCAGTGCAACATCGCGCGCGATTTTTTAAAAATCACATATCGCATTTAAATCGCGTTTTTTAGCGCGATTAAAATGCGATTTAATTTAAATCGCGCGATATTAATTCATCGCATCGCGCGATGATTTAAATAAATAAATAAATAAAAAATCGCAATCGCAAATACGCGATTAAATGCGATGCGATGCGATTTTTTTGCCCATGTCTAGCTCAGACCCACCCACTAGGTTCTGGTGATGGGGATGGGGATGGGGATGGGGATGGGGATGGGGCGATACAGGGCAGGAGTGTGAGAGTGTGACAATAACGGGGGAGAGGGTTGACTATGCAAAGCAGGGATAAAAAAGGAAGGCACTTGAGCAGCGTCTGTGAGCCGGTTGCCTTGCCACAGAGGGGCAGACCCACTAGATTTTGCAGATGGGGATATGGCGCGGCGAAGGGAGAGGGGTGTGAGTGAGAGTGTGATGATCACGGAGGGAAGAGTTTGGCAATAACGAGGGAAAGTGGTTAAACTACGCAACAGGGAAAGGACAGCAACGATTAGGTCAGGATGACGGAAATAGGCCGACGAAAACAGCGATTTGACAGGTACGTGAGTGTGCGACAGTGAGAGTGAGAATGAGAGTGAGACTGAGAGTGAGAGTGACACAAGCAAAGGCTGAACTTATAGAGCAGTATTGGTGCAACAGAAGCCAGGAAACGCTCTGCACCCCATCCCACACAATAGAGGCAGCCTCGTTAGCCCTCACAGGGTAGCGCTTGTGCAGCTTCATGGCTTCGAGCATGTCCTCGTCAAGCCACCCCTTCCATCATCTCTCTCAAGCCACTCCTTTTGAGTCGACTCAAACGTACTCTCTAGAGGCAACCTCGTTAGCACTCACAGGGAAGCGTTCGTGCAGCTTCATGGCTTCCAGCATATCCTCGTCTATGCCCTCCCCATCCATCTCCAACCACTCCTCATCCCTCTCCACCCCTCCCTCCACCCCTCCTTCCACCTCTCGAGATGACTCACTTTCCACCTCTCCCTCCCCCTCTCCTCCTTGGTTTCGAGCATCCAGAGCTGCCCGAACTGCCCGCAAAATAATATCATCGACTGAATTTGCGCCCTTGTTTCCTCCATTCCCCCCCGCCCCTTGCCCTTCCGGCTCCGTTTTCCCCTGTCCCTCCCCTTCCCCCTCCCCCTCCCCCCCTTCCTCCCCCCCTACACACATGAGAGCCGCCATCCGCGCTGCCAGCTTGGGGACTGTCTCCAGCTGCAGCAGGGATACAAAGAGCCAGGAAAGGTGGATGAGGATTAATGGGAAGGGGGAGTGTGTGGGGGCCGGGGGGGAGGGGAGATAAGGTGCAGTGCAGGGGGGAAGAAACGTGCAGCATCGCAGGAGTGCCTGCCACCATTCGTGCTGCCAGCCTGGGGACTGTCTCCAGCGGCAGGGGCGGGGAGAGGGGACGAGGGGGAAAAGGGGAGGGGGGGATACCACATAAGGGGAGGGGGGGAGATCACATAAGGGGAGGGGAGTTTACCACACAAGAGGAGGGGGGGATACCACATAAGGGGAGGGGGGGAGATCACATAAGGGGAGGGGGAGATACCACATAAGCCTTGCTATGTGGCATGGCATGGTGGCGGCTTGTGGCACGGCATTAGTGTGGGAAGCGCGGCATACCGCTGCTTTCCCCCCACCCTGCATCATTCCGTGCATCATCAGCCAGCATTGACTTTCGAGTCGACTCAAACGTCAGGCCGTGCATCATCAGCCACCATCACCTCTCTTTTCCCCGCCTGCCTTTGGCGATTCTCCCTTCCCCTACGTACGTGCAAGTTCGCCCCTCGCTCCCCCTTTCCCATTACCCCCACCTCCTTCTCCCCTCCCCTCCCCCCCTTCCCCCCCCACACCCCCGCCTCCCACCCTTTCCCCGCCAGGACGTGCCTGCTCGCGCGCCTGGCCCAAGCGGAACGACCACGCGTGATCCACTAAGAACACGTCACCCTTCGCATCCAATCCCTGCCCGCCAGGTGTCAGCACGACGCGCCTCTGCCGCCCGCCCTCCACCTCCTCGATCGCGAATCTACTCCCCGCATCAAATCTTTCCGCCATGATCTTTTCGAACAGCCGCGGGTAGAGTTCGCGAGGCAGGCCCGTCGCGAGTAACAGCATTTCGTGCACTTTAACGAAGTCCGCTAGGGTTTGGATCCGCGGGGGCGGCGGCGGGGGCGGGAGGGACTCCGCCAGTGCAGCGGAGGCCTCCGCATCAGACGGCCGTGGGGGCGCGTTCCTTGGCGGAGAGGGGTCCGCCGCGGGGGCCATGGGGAGATCGGTCCAGTGAGCAGTTGCCAAGTGGAGAATGCCAGGTGCCACGTGGAGAATGCTTCTGAGGCGAGGCTGACAGAAGCGACGAAGCCTATGTGGGGCGGTGGGCGGTGTTCACGACAGATATGCCTAGAGGTCCAATGCACGTAGTGAGAGAGGGTCGGGGGGGAGGGTTTTGAGGAATTTGGCAATTGTCGCATTTCACGAAAACAAAATGAACTTCGCGAAATCGTCACAGCTCTAGACCAGTGTTACCTTTCCACCACCATCGCGAGTTTCGCCATTTTCTTCCCGCCAAAGGGACTTCGGTCCAGTTCGTCAGGAGCTGTTTTGCACTCGTAGTCGACTGTACAGTGACGAGCTGCGACTAGAACCTTCCATGACGCGTATCTATCAAATGGTCTCGGTGAAGCGACCAGTAACGCGGATTTCGATTTGCTCTGCACTGCCAGCAGCAGTGACCAGCAGAGAGACCCCCCCACAGCTATTGGTAATCGTAGCTACTGGTTAACAGGTATTTTTTCTACGCAGTGATAGCTGCTGCTACTACTAGTAGAGAGCGTAGCGGTTGCACATTGCTCCTGCCCATTTTCCAGCCTCCGTCATTAGCAGTGATATTCCAAAGCAGCGGCGTTCTTCGCCGTGCCGTTCGCCGTCATTTGCTGGAAGCCTGGAGACTTCTCATTTCGGAAATTCTACTGCCACGCTTCGTTGAAGGTACCTCCCCGTTGCTCGGCTTGTCAGCACCCCGGCTGGCCTGCCGCTCCCGTCCGGTCCTCTCCATCCCTTTTTTCCGGGTTCCTGGCCGCTTCCTCTCCGCGAAGCCTCGAATCCGATGCTTCGCATCCCACATTGCTTTTGAGTCGACTCGAAAGCTACAGCTCCCGTCCGGTCCTCTCCATCGCCTCATTCCTGGTTCCTGCCAGTGGCCTCGATTCCTGGCCTCGAATCCGATGCTCCGCGTCCCACGTTGCCTCGCCGCGTGGTCCGCCTTTCCAGTTGTTTCACTCCAATGCTCGCATCGCATGCTCGTCGCTCCGTCTATCTCCATTCAGCGTCCCGTTTTCTCATTCAAGCCCGCTTTCCGTTTTATACTCCCCTTGCTTCCGCTTTTCCGTTTCAGGTTGTTCGAGTCCAATCATGAGGTTTTCCGTCACTCCCACCTGCCTCCTCGTCCTTCTCGTAGCCGTCTCTCTAACCACGCCTCTTCGTGCCGACGACGACGACTGCCGCCGTGAGAAGCGGGATCTAGCTGAGTGCAGGACGCTGGAGGCGAGCATGAAGGAGCAGAAGGAGGCGATGGAGAAAAAGGCGAACGCGACGGAGGCGGTGGGAAACAAGAGGCGCGAGAAGTTCTTCGACTGCCAGGAGAAGGTCGACAAGGACAACCTCGCCTGGCACAACGAGAAGACTGAGCTCAGTGCGTAGGCCCTTGGTTTCTCTTCCCCCGTACTCTTTTTAATGTCTCTGGTTCACGAGCGAATATGAGGCGGGTAAGTGCCAGGAGAAGATCGACCAGGATAACAACGCGTGGCGCAACGGGAAGCCTCAGCTCAGTGCGTTGACCCTCACTTAATCTCCCCCCCCTCTCCTCCCCCCTCTCCCCCCCCACCCCCACCCTCTCTCTAAGCCTCTCATCTCTTATGCATGCCCAGACCACTCAGACAGTGATCCTTACTGCCTCCCTCACGTCGCTTTTCGCTAAGTTGCCCCTGGATGTAATTCAGTGGCCCATCCCCACCTCGGACTTTCCTATCATCCTGCATTTGCACTCGGCTTTGGTGTGGGCAGCTGCACGTATTGCTACGTTGGACCAGAAGGTCAAGGGTCTGGAGGAGCAGCTCAATGCCAAGGAGAGGGAGTTGTAGCAAACACACCCATCCAAGATTGCCTCATTTATTTATGGCCTTCTGCAAACTGTATTTTGTGGATTTATCCAGAGCGATATGAATGTCATTTGTCCGATGTTCTATGTTATCCCATTACTCGCTGAAGAAGAGCCAAGAATTTGCTTTGCATGGGATGCAATTTATTGCGATATGAGAATATGACTTTCGTGTCAAACATGTTTGTATTGTTGTGATATAATTGATACTTAGGATGACGTCAGCAAATAGCGCTCGTCATAGGACAGTCGTTTCAGTTACGCGAACAGTCGCATCTCTTCAATATCACCTGGGGCGCATAGCGCGATAGTTACGAAAAGGTACATTAGCGAATAGGTACTTTCCGTAGTACTATAAATTCTTGTTAGGACTTTTCATTATTAACTTTGTGACAAATTTTGTGATAAACTGTGACTACTCACAAGTTCACGTACTCAGGTTTTAAACCTTGACCTTTACATTTTATAAGACTTCCGCTGTCTTACTAGTCTACCATTCCAGCAAAGATCCTGGACTAACACTTGAGGATTTACCAAGTGTTTGTGTTGATAGTTTTATACTTAGTCTACTACATCATCACTCCATTTATTTCATGGTATGAGAGCTATCTGGAATTAAGACTACTGTCAACTATGACTGGTTCATCACCAGCACCATCTACCGGATCAGTTACCGGAACTACAGGAGCACATGCCTCCACTACCGCCGCTGGTCTCTCAGCCTCTGGGCACTTTCCACCAGCCTACGCTAACATCGGTATGCAGAATCCGCCTTTTATGAATACTCCAGGTGCTCCATCGACTGCACCTGCAACGCAACAGCAACAATCACAAACAACAGCACAACAGCAAGCGCAGTACAGCCGCAAGTTTCAACGCAATCAATTTCATCTGCGTTCAGTGGAATGAACCCTGACGGCTCAAGTTACATGCGCGGAGCTACTGCTCCAAATTCCGGTTCGTTTGCTTTCTCACCTTTCATACAGCAGCCGCAGTCGCAGCAGTTTCAGCATCCCTTTTATGGCTTCGGTCGTTCCCCTGCTCAGCAACAACAACAGCAGCATCAGCAGCCACAGCAAGTTCAACAACAGCAGCAACAACAGCAGCAACAGCAACAGCAATAGCAACAACAGCCGGGCGTTGTCTTTCAACCTCCGAATTCACTCAACAATACACAGATCAAGACAACCATACCTTTTAACGGAGTCGACTTCTACTCCTGGAGCTTCGAATTTGAGCTTCTGGCGCAGTCCGTTGGGCTATGGCCTTTCTTCACTGGCGAATTCACGTACCCTGTCGTGGGGACACAACTGGAGCAGCAAAGTTTTCTACACGCCTCTCTCGGTGCAAATACAGTTCTTGTACGCAACTTGTCGCCGAAGGAGCAGCTCGGCGTAAGATCATTTCACTCAAGTCTCATACCAGCCAAAACAGCATGGAATCATCTGAAAGGGGTATACATGGCAAAGGATACGATAACTGTGAGTAAAATACTTTCGCAACTGACAAGTGTGCAGATGATGACAAATGAAAACGTCATGGACTACGTTAACCGTGTCCGTACTCTACGAGATCAACTGGAAAAGAGCGGAGGATACTTCCCTCGTGAGATGTATCTCACGGTCCTTCTGGCTGGACTTGGACCCGAATGGAGACAAACGCGCGCCTTTCTGCGCATGAACCCCAATCTTTCCGAAGCAGAAATTTCTTCTTATCTTCAAGCAGAGCAGCAAGATCTTGACATGCAATCGCAACGAAATCAGAAAAAGGGGCTTCATTTAAGTTTTTACTCCAATCCAGAAACACAGCATCGACATCCACCAAAGTATCCGTTCTGCCACTTCTGTAAGAAACCAGGACATACTTACCAAAACTGTCGCAGCCGTCATCAAAATCGTCGCAACACTTCGCAGCCGTATCAACGCTCGCAGCAGTTACCGAAGCCGCAACCGCCGCAGCAGCAGTTAACGTCTCAGCAGCAGCAGATGCCGAAACCACCACATAATTCATCGACGTCGCAGCATCGTCCACCGGTCCTCGCATCTGCCACATCAGAAAAAGGAGTTTTCGGATGTGTTACAACAGTTGGTTTTTCAGAAACAGATTTCGAAACACGACTTGAAGAAACAACAAGTGCTGAAGGCATTCCTTTACCTCAAGTTTATGCTAACCTTGCTCGCATAATTTCAGGACCAAATACCTGGTATCTCGACAGTTGCTGCGGATGGCACATGTGTTCAGCAGAAACAAGCTTCATCACCAATCAGCGTCAACTTCGTCGTCCGATTCCTGTCACAGTCGCAAACGGACAATCAATAATGGCACGATCAGTTGGCAGTGTCATGCTCGAGTCTATCGACACGGGATACTCACTTCATGTTACAAATGTTCTTATCGTCGCCGGTCTGGGCTTTAATCTTCTTTCCACAGCTCAACTCCTGGCACACAAAATCCGGACACAAGGAAATTGTGAAACGATGGATCAAGAGCTCTGGCACAGTACATCTAATACCTACCTTGGACGAGCCGCCACTCAACATGGCGTGTCGGTACTTCAGTTCGCAGCACAGGGAACTTCTGGCGATTCTGAACGTGTCATTGCGCTTGGTCCCTGGGATCATCCAGAAGAAATAGATTATCAACATGTGGACATTGACTTCCGAGCAACAAATATACCAACAACTTCCCGAACTGCAGCCGCCGTACTTACCGCGTTGGATACCTGGGAGTTTAATACCGCCGATGAAAGCGCCACCGCGTGGCGAACATATTATAATACTCGTGCAGCCTTCCAAGGAACTCCAGCACCACTTTGGGGAGAGATAAGTGGTCTTGCAGCCGACGAACCAGACGTCGTTGAAGAAGCAGAGCAGGAAGCCGTCGCTGAGCAGCCGAGTCCAACCGTAGCTGTCGCCGAAACACCTGCCACGACATCAGCAGAAGCAGCATCAAAAGTTGCCATCACAGCTGTCGATGCATCAACAACCGTTCCATTACCTCTTACACGTTTTGTCGAAGGAGATGTTGACCGCTCACCAGAGCTATCTCCTTTTCTTCTTTCTTCGTTTTATACTAACTCCGATTTTTACCTGCGATCATCCGGACACAAAGCCACAGAAGATATATGGCATCAGCGGTTAGGACATCCATCACAAGCGATTGTTAATCATTGAATCCGAGCAGCAGTTCTTGATAAAAACAGTTTACTCTTACCTGATGGCACGGAGATGAAGCCGCAGTCTCGACCGACGGTTTGCACCACGTGTCCGGTTGCCAACCTAACGCACGATCCTTTTCCCAGTCATTTTCCCGGCTCAACTCGTTATAAATTGATGCAGAAAGTCTACAGCGACATACTCAACTTGTCTGAAGTAGGACCTAAAGACGAGAAGTATGTGATAACCTTCATCGAAGCGTCTACACGCTATGTTTGGACAGCCAACTTACCTGCGCGCCATCTAGCTCATTCCGTCTTCATCGCGTGGCTCGCTGTCGCTGAACGAGAGTCTAGAGTCAAACTGCAAGAATTTCAGAGCGATGGTGCGGGGGAGTACACCAGTAACACCTTCACAGAGTACCTACAGACACTCGGCATCAAACGGAAGCAGTCACTGCCTCATGCACACCAACAGATGGGGGTAGCAGAAAGGATGAACAGAACTCTGCAAGAGAAGATGCGTGCTCTGCTGACGCAGGCAGCCCTTCCACCGCATTTTTGGCCGTATGCGATGGACCACGCCGTGCTGTTACACAATCTTCTTTCTTCAATGTCCCTGCCCGAGTTCTCTTCTCCACACCTGCAGTGGACACGAACAGTGGGGAGCACAAAACTCTTACGAGTTTTTTGGTGTGTCGTACAGTTTCGACCTCCGATCGCCGCACTCGGAAAATTTTCCGAACGAGCAAAATGGGGGGTACACCTCGGCATCGAAAAACAGTATCACGCGTGGAAGATTTTCAATCTTCACACCCATCAAGCCGTTCCATCACGTGATTGTCTTTTTTATGAAAGACTCACCTTGCCCGTTTTTCGTGCCCACCAGGCAGCAGCTGCCAACCCTGCCAGGCTGTTCGAAGGCTCGCGTGCATTTGCAACTGACGACGCCGAAGCTGATGTACAGGACGAGGATGTTTCTGAAGCTTCCGAAGCTGCCGCAACAGACATTCCCGAACATGTCACTACGACCGGCATACCCGAATTTGTTCCTCTTGCAGATGCTGACCAGGATGATGTTCGCGAAGTCTTCCTCAGTTACGAACGCGATCGCCAACAGCAGCCGATGCCCGTCGTCTCCGACGAAGCAGTTCGTTTTATACCTGACGAAATTGGGGGGGGGAGAAGGACCAGAAGAAAATTTCGCAGGTGTAAACGAAGAACGTCCGCGTTTTACAGAAACAGGATTACAGATACTGGGGTTTGCAGTCGCAGTACAGTACAACGACAGTAAAATACCTGAACCGAAAACCGTTCGACAAGCTCTTACAAGTCCTCACCGAGAAAAATGGCGTGAAGCCATGGACAAGGAGCTAGCAGCGCTCAAGAGCCGAGGCACATGGGATTTGATACCAACTTCAGAAGTCAAAGGGAAAAAGGTACTAACAGGAAAATGGGTCTTCCGCGTCAAGACTAATTCCGATGGGTGGTTTGCGAAATTCAATGCGCGATGGGTCGTCTGCGGGTTTGAGCAGACTTACGGCAACGACTACGAGTTAACTTTTGCCCCTGTCGGCCGACATACGAGCGTTCGAATTCTACTCTGTGTCGCCGCCTGCCGTAAACTCCGACTTCGATAAATCGACGTGTCGAATGCGTTTCTCTACGCACCTGTCGACGCCCTCATCTTGGTAGAGTACCCGCATTCCTATACTACTAATCCACCGAGCGTTTGCCGTCTACGAAAATCCCTGTACGGCATTAAACAGGCACCACGGCTCTGGCAGCAGTATCTCCATTCTCAGCTAATCGCTGCCGATTTTCATCAGTTACCGCATGACCAAGGAATGTATCTACTTACCGACGGCAACAACTATATTCTACTCGTCGCCTACGTCGACGACATCCTATACGTCAGTTCTACCGATTCACTTGCCGAGATCTTCATATTGAAATTACAGAAAACCTTACAGCTTACCGTCTCCGAAACAGTCTCACAGTTTCTC